GCGCAGAGCCACTGCCCAGGCCCCCAGCGCGCGCGCGCACGCTGCCCAGCTGCGCGCCTGCGCTGCCCAGCCGCGCGCCCAGCGCGCCTTCGCCACTCCTCGCCTCCTCTTCGCTACCCAGCCTTTCAATTTCAGATCCACAACTTTCTTCAACCTCCACCAATCCCTCTTCAATCGACATTGTTCACTTGAGAAGCTCAACTAGCAAGGAAGAAATCACACTCTTGAAGGGATTCAAGGAGAACACACACTTTGGCTTCAACAAAATGGGTAGGACTTGAGTTCTCAAAATTTTCAAGAGGTGGGTGCTCAACCTTAAAAATAAGTGAAGTGGTAATTTGAAGAAGAAGACTATATTTATAGTCTAGGGTTTTTCAAAAAGAGAAAAAAAGCCCAAATAGATTAATATGGGCCCTCTTCAAAATAAAGTAGGCAAATAGAAAATTATGGGCCCTCTTCAAAACAAAGTGGCCAAAAAGAAAGTTATAAGCCATTTTTCAAAACAAAAAGGCCAAACAAAATATTATGGGTCTTCTTTAAAATAAAATGGAAGAAACTTTAAAAAAAAAAAATGTAATCAATGCCTCCTTCTCCAAGTCTCCTTGGACATGGGGCATTGGGGGGCAAATGATGGGTTAAGCCCAAGTAGTCCAATTTATGTATTAAAGCCCAACCCCGGTTGAGGAGCCCAACCTCATCGTGAATCCACCAAGTCCAAGACAGACCAAGGCCGGTTAGACTTCATGCTTAGCACGTCACCAAGAAGAGAGCACGGGAAGTTTATCTGCACCGCCTTAAGGAGCCCAAGGCCGGCTAGACTTCTTGCTTAGCACGTCACCAAGAGGAGAGCACGGGAAGTTTATCTGCACCGCCTTAAGGAGCCCAAGGCCGGTTAGACTTCTTGCTTAGCACGTCACCAAGAAGAGAGCACGGGAAGCTTATCCGCACCACCGAAGGAAGGAAACGGTCCAATCTTTGACCACGTTCCTTCAAGAGTTCCCCAACCTCTTCCTTCCGTGGAAGATAAGTCGTGATCTCCACCAAAGACAATCTCTAAGCTGCGATAAAGAAGCCTTGAGGATATGTCATGATCTCCACAAGAATGATCTCTTATCTACTATAAAATGGCTCTAATCTGTGAGAGAAAGAGACACATGCTCCATCAGAGACTTACAGAAGACGAACCGACTATCGGAGATTACTATTTTCTTTAATTCTCCATTCTCCCTCTCAAAGCTTGTATCTCCATTCTCCATACCTTTGAATCAATAAAAATACCCGGCGACTGAAGCCATTGAAGAGTGGACGTAGGTCGAATTGACCGAACCACTATAAATTGTGTCTTCTTTAATTTCTTCGTTGATTTCATTGCATTTATTACCTATACTTGACAGGTGGTGTGCAAAACCATTTTTGTGCATCATCAAATTATATTCAATATAAATGTGTTAAGTAGTGCACTTATTTTTTTATTTGTTAAATTGATGAGTTTTTTTTAATCAAAATGTTATTAATGTGTCTTATAAAAATTCAAAATGTTACACTACACAATTGATATTAATGGCAAATTTGACTCATTTAATTATAATGTTAAAGAAAATCATGTGTTCCAAGATCAGTTATAATCGTTGACTGATTAGTGGAAAATATTAAGTAAAAATGATAATTTCTTGATTGTTTGATGAATGAATTTTAGATCGTAAAATGTGTCCAAATATATATATATATATAAACAAATGATGAAAGTGGGTCATTATTATTTTTAAATTCGAGTCACATCGGAGTAACACAGCACCGAAGGTCCAATTAGAAACCCAAGCTGCATTCGTATTATAACTCGAGAGATTCCAATTGCAGGATTCAAACCTAAAACGTAAAACCCGTTAACCACCAAACTGCCGACTGCTGAGTATGCAGTTTCATGGGTAAATTATATTTTATCCCCTTCAACTATTACATTTATTTTATTTTGCATCATCAATTATAAAATTTCTCACATTGTACCATAAATTATCAATTTTGTTTCATATCACTTTAAAATAGCTATCAATTTTTTGATTGTAAATGCGCATGTGAGGCCTATATTGTCAATAAACAACTGTCTATTGTACATATGCAAATAAAAAATTAAGAAAAATACTCATCCATAACTTTTCCCTTTTTAAGTTTCAATTTTTTTCATCGGACCTACCTTCTTTTTCTTTCCAGCAACTATTTGGTTGCAAAAGAGGTAAAATAAAGTAATATTAGGCACTTGACGGGAAGTTCTTTGAGGTTTCTCTCCTTCTTTTGGTAGATTTTCAAGTTTGTCTTTATCTATTGGAGTAATATGAAACATAATTGATACTTTAAGGTGTAATGTGAGAAATTTTAGAATTAAAGGTGCAAAATAAACAAAGATAATAGTTAGGAGTAAAGTATAATTTACTCTAGTTTCATCTATTGAATCCAATCTTCGTTATAATCTAACACATAGGGTTGGACCAAAATAGATTTTTTGGTCAATTTTAAGCCTAAATAAAAGTAAGAATCACTCATCATTTTGAGTCATTATTTGTTAGAACTCGTTTTGCTCCGCAAGTAGATTAATATAATGCATTCACTATAAGAAGTGACCGAGAAAATTAATTGGCTCCAAATTGACTCATGTGAAAGGAATAAACCAGCTTGGAAAAATATGCTAAAGTGTTTAACACCAATCTCATGTTGATTGAGAAAGGGAGCTTTAATGGGTTTATGTACTCCCAATTTGTTCTAAGGGTTGGACACCAATAGCCACCCTACTTTTGTGGATAAGAGCGGATCTAGATGAGTTTGGATTTTACAACATGTGCTCACAAGCTGCCACTCAAGTTCGGGTGTGGGTTAAACTTCTGTTTGATAACCCTGTTTGTTTTCACTTTTTGTAAAAACCAAAAACAATAATGCATTTAGTAATTGTTTTCATTTTTTTTTTCTAGAAAAATTGTTTTGAAAGCAAAAAAATCCAGGTTTGGAGAAACATGAACACCCAAAATAGACAGAGTAATGTTATTGAAACTTAATTTGCTGATCTTATTTAATACGATCTTTGAATTCTCCACGATCTCTGCAACTTTCCCTTCCCCAAGCTCTCTCTCTCTCTCTCATAAATGTAGTATACACACACAAACGTGTATAGAGTAGTACAATGATGAAAGCTTCACACCAGAGTCTCTTGTGGATACTTTTCACATGAACCATTAGATTGTAATCCAACGGTTACTAGTGGAAAAAAACTAAAATTAAATGGAAAAACTTACCAAGTTAAGTTATTAATTAAAAAGGAAATTTCATTGTGATATTGACTTCAATCTTTATCATATAAGAAAACTAAATTAACCTTTTTAAATCAAATATTTTCAGCCAAATTAGTTAAAAAAAAAAATTGTCACATGGGTGAACCTATTAACTCAAATTGGTTTACACCAACTTTTGATGTGTATTCTGTAATTCAATTTTTGGATCAAAAAAAATTTGTAACTCAATTTAAATGAATCTAAAAATAATGAAACAAGTGGAGAAAAATAAAAATATTGCACGAATCAATATGCACTTGGTGAAAGGACAATATGAAAAAAAAGTTATATGATTTACTAGAAGTATCCTATAGATGGTGAGTATGGTGCGTGTGAAAGTATGCTCATGTTGCATTCACTGAAATAAGAATGCATAATTAGTAGAGGTAATTTATTTTCAAATGGATTAAAAAAATTAATCTTAGATGGGTTACAACAATTGGTATAAACCAATTTGAGTCAAGGAGTTCATCTGTTTGAAAATATTTATTTAAAAAAATTAAATATACTTTCTTAATATGATAAAGATTATAATCAATTTTACAATGAAATTTTCTTTTTAGTTAATGGCTTAACTTGGTAAGTGTTTTTCATTTAATTTTGATCTTCTTTTAACTAGTAGTCGTTGAATCTCGATTTAATGATTCATGTGAAAACTACCTACAAGAGGCTCTGGTGAAAAACTTCCATGATCGTGCTATTCTACGTGTGTGAATATATACTAGCAGTTTCTTTCTTTCGTAGTTCTTTTTCTTTTGAATTTTTCCACACCAAGACAAAGAGAGTTATCTTATCTTATCTTACTTTTCTTTTTCTTTTACTTTAATTACTTTCCATTCTAATCCTCCCCATCTACCTTACGCATGATTTAGGATTACATGAGGCTGCAGGCGACTAGTTCTATAGGTAAAGGTTTGGTTCTCTTTCAACCGGACCCAACTAACCCAAATAGCATTTCACACCATGTCCATGCTAAAGGGCCACAGTATTCTCTCTCTCTCTCTCCCCCAAGCTGGATAAACCTAATATCAGCCCTAGATTTGGTTTCTGTTTTTTTTTTCAAAGCTAAATAACCTATAATCTGCCCCCCTTCTACTAATTTGATCTACAAACTTTTTGCATCCATGGGTAAATAAGAGATACAATCACTTTGTGGGAAAAAAAAATTGATTTTCCCCATGTACTAAAACATATTTGAAGTGGAAAAAAGACACGAGTATCACGAGTTTACGCATAAACCACGAGTTGACTGAATGTATATTTGGGCTGTTCTTAGTTATCAACAGAAAAAAAAAACATAGTAAAGCATGGGGAGCAATCAAGAATTGATCACTTTATAATTACATACTGAAACGTATCAAACAACAATGGAATCGATTCTTAGAAGCAACAAGGATGTTCGCACACTGATTGCCTTCTCAAAGCGTGTGGGAGATGCGAATTTGGTTGGCTTTCATCTTTGTGTCACGATAATGTAATAAATCTTTTCCTCACATGTAAATATACCTCAGGTGATATTTTACAAACAAAAATCAAAGAAGAAAGGTATTTATATATATGGGAGGTTCTTATTATCTATATACAAACAAATAATCTAAACCTAAATACAAAATTCAAACAGGAAAAGGGATTGAAAGGATGATAAAATCAATAACCATCATATGAGGTTAACCGTATGATCGGTCAATCATAAAAAGCAATCAATCTAGGAGCTACCTTCCCAATCCCAAACTCCAAATCATTCTCCATTGGTGTCAAGTTCAAATCCAAACACAAAACCCTCCTACTATTTGACTTCTTCACAACAGGAGCTGGTGGAGGTGAGAGAGATAGAGGAGGCAGCTGGTTTTCATTCACAGTGGCCGCCCTATGCCGCCTCATATGGCCTCCCAACGCTTGCCCTATCGAAAACTCGAGGCCACAAATTGAGCACTCGTGTGTTTTGGGTTTGGGAGGTGAGGTTTCCGATTGGTCAGTTTGCTGATTCAAGTCTTCCATCAACCTTGGCTTCTTGTGACTCGCCCGGTGGCCACCGAGCGCTTGGAAGGAAGTAAACTGCCGGTTACACGTCTTGCACTCGAAAACACGCCTCGGGTAGTTGTTAACCGTCTGGAATTCTCCTCCCTGGGATAGCAACATCAAGTAGTTGGCCATGGTGTTTAGGTTATCAATCTCTATGTCTCTGGCTCTCTTCATGGGTGAATATACCATGAAATGGCAAAAAAAAAAATCCAAGAATTGGGTTTTTTTTTCTCTGAAAAAGTTGTGGGGGTGGGAAAAGGTATTTTTTGTTTGAAGGAAGAAGGCAATGAAAGTATGAACCTAGGCAATGAAAATGAGACTTTAGGAGTTGTATATTTGTAAGGTTCATGAGGTAGAGAGAGTATGACTTATTCAGTTGACTTTTCTCAACAGCAATATTGACTTTGATTCTCGTGGGGAAAAGGAGGTTGCATACATGGGGAAGTATGAATCTGTTGAGCCGTCATGAGGGACGTGAGCATGACTGCGTTGGTGACTGGAGACCCATTTAACCTTAGCTAATGGTAAGATATATATATCTCTATAGTTTCTAGATAAAGATTGAATTTGCATCTATAATAATTACTCCTTGACTAAATGATACGTTGCAAATTCGGGTCCAAAAATTTGTCTCTTAAAAAATTAAAATAACATTGTCTTCCTTTAACTTGTCCTAAATTACGGCGTGAGTTTTGTAAACTACACACGACAATCTTCATTGTTACCTAACTATTGATTACTAGGGTTACCTGTCAAATATAAACTCAAATTAAAATGGGTGTCACATATATAATTGAAGAATTTAGTTTACTATTGGAATGGATTTTCAGCCTAAACGCACACCTAGTGAGTGGAGTGATTCGCTCCCTTAAATAGTTCAAGTCCCCTTCATCACTAACTGATTTGAAATTCATTTTACACCTCACCAATTTTCCTCTTGAACGAGACTTATAATGGATGATTTTTTAAGTGACATTGTTCAAAAAGGAAATTAGCGGGGAATAGTGTAATTTAAGAAACCATGAAGGTATCCAATAATGATATCGTTTTGCAAACCATGAGGGGTATTAAGAGAATTACTGCTATAAATATTTTATCAACATAACTTTCTAATCCCTGCACATTATAATAACCCAAAAACTAAGCTGCTTTTAGTTTTTGTATATATAGTTAGTATATACACATAAAAATAATGAGTTTTTAGATCTATTCAAAGAAACACAAAAAAGTGTTGGTCATAGTAGTACAAGACCGCCATTTTCCAAAAGGAAGAATGCATAACACGAGACAAGACCGTGGAACACAAGTTACATGACTTGTTCTGGTGTTGTTACTGTAGTACATGTGCACAGGTAAGCCGTGTTTGTCTAGAAAGAGAACGAGAGAACGAGAGAGTGTGACCTTCCTGTTTTCACACACTAAAGAGTAAGCCTGTTTGATTGAATTTTTAATTGATCTGTAGTCGGATTTTGAAAATTCGATCTGAATTTGATCGGATAATTCGGCGAATTTATTATTATGATCCATATTCAAATTCGTTACTTATCCAAAATTTGAATAACTTAATTCAATTAAAATTTAATAAATTTTATCTACTTTTTTTTTAAATAATCACTTAATTTTTTTAATATTTATACAAAAATATATAAATATTTTAGATCAGATCAGATATAGGTATATCTAAATCTGAATCCGTAAAATATAAGATACTGAATTCGAGATTCGAGTTAAGATAATCAATAAAAAATATCAATCCATGTACCACTAAACGGATTCAGCTTCAGATCAAGTTTGGATAAAATTCTATCCATCGACAGACCTAATAAAGAGGAGTTGGAATTTCGTTTAACAGAATAAATACATCATCTGCATTAGACCATCATCTAATCTAAAAACCTAAGCTTAGAAGAAATGTGTAACCTTTTTGGGCAATTCTTTCACTTTTTTTTTTGTATTGTGTAATAAGTAGGGGTGTTCAAATTTTCGATTACCGGTAAATTCTGACCTCACCTAACTCTATTGATCAGCTACCTGAAAGAATTAAATAGGCCAACGGAAGTTTTTTGGTATTTTACAAAAAATCGGATAAGAATGCAGAATACCTACAAAATTTCAATATTCTTATCCGCATAATTTTTAATTCCTAAAAATTAAAACCCAAAAACTTAGAAACTCTACTGTTTTATTGATGTTTATGATTTTCTTGTTGTGTTTTATTGCAATTGTTTATGTATTCTCAAATTTATTGTGTTTTCTTTAGTGTTACTAGTTTATTGTGTTAGTTAAATAGTGCAAGTTGCTTAATTAAATTGTTAAAATGATCTAAAAATTAATAACTCAAAAATATGTATTCACCAAATTTCCTATCTGATTGTTTTGGATGAAATTCAGGTAGGAATAGTACACTTGATCGGATAAGATAAATTCAAGAAAACATTCCTCTGTAAAGTATTGGATAAAAAAATAAAATACCATAATTCCTATCCTAAGGTGAACACCCCTAATAATAAGAGGATAAAACTGTGTTTTTTGAATCTAGAACTTTTGGGGTCTAATACCAAGTCAGAACACAATCTACTTTCTAAACTTAAACCTATAAAGAAGGGTAAAACATAAATATTTATTTTAAAATTCGTAATGCGTACACTAGATTCTCTTAAAATCTTAGAGTGAGAGACTCTCGTGCGTTGAATTACGTACTTTAACCATGACGACGTAAATGTGCATTCCTACTTCGTCTATCTAGCCCTTCCCTTTCCCTCTCTGCCTCTATTTACGTAATTATCAGTTTTTTTATATTATTTAATAGAAAAAACAATAGCTTCCTCCTATGAGAATTTTTCAATGTTCTTATATCTCATTATTGATAACTATTGAAAATTAATTTTTATTAACGGACTTTTTCAACAATGTTAGGTTGTAGGTGGAGATGAGTAGGGAGATGCAAAATTCCATTCACCACACGGGGCAACCGGTATAAGAAAACTGTATTACGTAGTAACACGTTGTAAAGTTTAATCAAAGTTTCAGATGTATACAAATGGTGTTTTGTACCTCGTGCTATCCAATTTTATCTTTTTTTTTTGTTACAGGATGTTCAGATTTGTGTCGACTACTCCTTTGAGCTCTAAGTCGGCCATTGTAAGTCCAGCTAATTTAAAAACATATTTCCTGAAAAACAAAAGTAACCGACCCTTAAAAAATTTGAAAAACATCGAACTTGATTCCTCTTTTTCATAAGAAAACAAACTTCACTACGGGACTACCTGTAGGGTTAACCAATTTTTGTTGGATCAAAACAGTTTTTTGAGTGAAAAAATTGAGTTTTTGGTCGACTTTGAGCCTAAATTAAAATGGGACCCAATTTTTATTTTAAATAAAATTTGGTGGGTTCATATTCTACTTCGTGAAAAGAATAATGTAGTATATTCACTTGCTTAAATCGAGTAAGAAATGAATGAAAAAATAGGTTTCAAAATAACCATTTTGAAACATGAGAAATAAAGGAAGTGTAATGTGGAATGTGACACCAATTTCACATTGGTTGAGGAAGAAATTCAATATAGGCATATATATGCCAAGTTTGCTCTATGGGATTGGGCCCCAAAGGATACCACAGTTTTATGAGCAGAGCAAGGATCTACATACCTTCGGTTCAACCACACACGCGCACGTGCCGTCCGCCTCGCCACGACCTGGGTGTGGGTGAGCCTTATTTTTTTGGATAAAATTTATTTAATTAATGAGCGAGAATTTCTTAATCCGAAATTAATTCGGTACCCACTGGATCGGTCCGAAAATTGAATTTATGACTGTTCATGAAGAACAATTATTAAAGGTGTCCACTGGCTGGTCGATTTTTTGTTTTTGGGTTGTGTCCTTTAGTATGGTGGCTATTCGAACAGTCACCAGATTATCTATAAATACTCAGTTCATGCATTCATTTTATGGATTCAATTCAATAATCAGTCTATTAAGGTATTAAACAGTCTGCATTTCGGCATTAAGACAGTGCATTTAGAGAGAATACACAACACAATATTGGTTCGTTGAACGATCAGATTGGAGTGCTACTTCTGTTCATATAAAGATCATTGTATTCTGGGAGGCGGACGCTCGATTTTTCATAAGTATCATGTGTGGGGCCGAAATTTGTCTTAAGGACATGATGTTAAACACTAGCCTTGATCTACATAAAATTCAATAACAGTTTCTGTTCTGTAACCGGATTAGTTTCTATTTGTTTAAACAAACAATTTACGTGTAACTGTTTGTTGTAACTTTTTGCTATAACTCTTTCGTGTTTCATACTTGTTTTTTACTGTTTTATTTATTTCAAATCAAAAATTTTAATAAATAATTCTATTATGCTTGGAACACCACGACCAACAATTTTATCAGTTAACAGCAGTGGAGCTGTTATGCGGTGTTATAATCCATTAATGGGTCAGCTGTGAGAGGGAGAGAGAGAGAGAGAGAGAGAGAGAGAGAGAGAGAGAGAGAGTCATTTTCTATACGTAATGTTCTTTTGAATATGAACCTAGAGAATTTTTCATGATATGGTAGTTTAACAAGACCAATACAACTACCAGGCGGCTAGTCAACTACTGTCATGAACAGTACGGTGAGCTGATGTACTTTTATATCTCTCCTCCCCTCCTTCCGATTATTTCAATAATTTCGTTAAACGATAGGAAAAATATTTTTTTATTAATTTAATTTATTAACCTAATTTATTTATTTAATTTTCTATAACTCTTTAATTGACTGGGAATTTTATCAATTATTAAAACTTGAAATTAACCCAACAGTTAGAGTGAACCATGCATGTCTTTTTTTTTTTCAACGGTATGTTTGAGTCAATTTACTCACACTTTGATTAATTCTCTCTCCAATCTGATCAAAAGCAAATCATCTACACCGAAATTACGATATTTGTGAGGGATAGATTCTTTATGACCTATCCTCAATGAATTGTCAAAATTCAAATTTAGAACATTTGAGGTTATTACCTTGTTTATTTCATTAGGTTAATAAATTAGTGCAGATGTTTAAGTCGAAATAACAATACCGTAATATATTGCTTATATATTTCTAGTTTTTTTAGTGGATGTACAATGATATGGAAAATAGGTTTGAATGTGGACCATATATTATGTGACTTATAATTTGAGACAATAGCACGATTTATTTCTTCATTCTCTTGCGACATAATGTAGTCATCATGTATTATATAACGTCACAAATATTAGTTTCACACACTATTATCATAAAAATTAGTTATAAGTGAGTGCATTATTAATGATATTAGTCAGTTTCTAATCTAATTTACACTACCTTTTCTTTCTTTCTTTTTTCCTTTTTTTTTCAATAAGCACATTTAAGAATATCTCCAATAGTCTCTCTGTTCTCACTCAATTCTCTATTTTAGAGAGTTAACTCTTAAAAATCTATCTTTAATAAACTCTTTATTTAAGCTAACTATAATAGAAAATCTAATTTGACTATCTATCTATTTGATCATTAATGAATGATAAGACAAAAAAAAATATTTTTTTTTATTAAAAAAAAAGACTATTCTCCTCTTAAAATAAAGAGTCTATTGGAGTTGTCAAAAATAATTTCCTCTCCATTTCGAAATTTTTTATCAAAGATGCTCTCTATTTCAAAAAAATTCTCTTCAAAATAAAGAATACTATTAAAGATGCTCTAATTAAGTATTCTTCTTCATCGATAAGAAAAGTTCTTTTTCGATTAACATCTTTCAATTGGTTATCTTGATTAGGTCATTACATATTGTTGAACATAATTGCTGAATAAGAAAATCTTATCGTTCATATTAATGATATCAATTTGAAATATTAATAGTTCATCTTGGTGATATCATTTTGAATTATGGTTTGGATTGATGGTCAAGAAAAAAAAAAAAAGTCACACTCCGGCATCGACCGTGATGAAGACCACAAAAAAATGCACCAAGTACGATCGTAAGATAATCTAAAAAACCCATGTGAAATGAAATCAAAGGATAAGTTTATGACTTGAATCAGCAGAAGAAT